CCTGTACTTCACATAGTAGCAAAAAATCGTGCCACTGTTTTGGTCAGAGTTTAAACCATACACAATACATCAAGGATTTCAGGAAAAAGATATTCTTTGAACAAAAATGTTATATGTACATGAAAGCAAGAGAAAAACCAATCTTGGGCCAGCCAAATAGCTCAGAGAGAAAAGGAAAAAGAGTACTAAGTAAAATAGGTGGAGTACTCTTTTTTTAAAGCTTTGCCTAGTAGGCTCCCTAACTTTACTCTTTTTATTTACTTTAAGAATACTTGCTTGAATTTTTCCTTTTCCCTATGAGGGTTAAATTCATGTTAAATATTCTTACTACAACACATTTTAAAAATAAAAGAATGGGGTCAGGGAGATGGCTCAGTGGAATAAGTGCTTCCCTGGCAAGTGCAAGGGCCTGAGTTCGATCCCCGGTTCCACAAAAAAATAAATAAAATAAAATAAAAGAGTGGTTAAAACACATTGTGGAGTTTGAACTTAAACCTTTACAAAATGGAGTCTTAAAGAGGATTTTAATATAACAGCATAAAAAAATCAATGTTTCAGAAAAACATAAAACCTCATATCCCAGGATGGAGTATAAGCTTGCATAAAACTGAAGTCTTAAGTTTAAAAAAATGCTTATTTAGGAAAAAGTAACACAAACCTTTGTTCCATTGACAATTTAGTAAAATGACTGCTAGCTTTGTTTAAACCAGTATAAGCTCAATTTTAATAACTTTTAAACCTGTAATTAAATATAAATTCCTTCTAATGCTTAAAAAAGAAAACAACACCTGAATCATTACCCAAATTCACATAACATTCTTATAACACATTTATATGAGACATAAATTGCTTATATGAATTATATAATACTGGCCTCGAGGAAAAATTAGAATGAGCTAAAAACAGATAATCCAGATCAAGGTCAAATCCCACACAGCATTCCACAGGTAACACTGTAAAAATGTGTGAGCACAAACATACAAGTATAATTTCAGATTTTTTTTTTCTAGTACCAAGGATTTAACTCAGGAACCTGCGCTTGCCAGGTAATTTCAAATGTTAAACGGAACTAATAATATACTTCATTATCCCCATTTAGAGAGGGATGGTCAAAATGATATGAAACACCTTACACAATGCTTCCTGGTATGTCACTGACATTTGATAAGTCAAGATCAAGAGAAGATACTACTTCTCTTCCTTCTACACCCTACTCCCCCAGTAAGTTCAGATATTTGAAAGAAAAAAGGTTATTCACTTAACATTTATCTATCTTCAAAATCTAATGACTTAAAATCATTTCTGAAGTGCTTTTTAAATACACATACACAAGGAAAGCTTATCAAATATTGCTTATCATGTAAGCTTTATATATTGAACATGATTACTAAATTGCAAGGCTGTACCAAAGAATTTATTCTGCCATAGCATTACAGGGAACAGGTATAACTCTGATGCACAACACCAACACTTATAGGCAAGTCATTTTATTAAGAAGGTAAATATAATGTATGAAAATAGCATTTCACAAGAGATATAATGGAAGAAATTGAGGTTTGGTTCATCACATCCTTCTCTACTGAAGTTCTGCTATAGAGTTAGCAACTAAAGGGAAAACATACAGTAAGAATACTATTACGTATGGTCAAAGTTTTCACTATTTTCTAAAACCTACCTGGTAAAATAAAGATGTTTCACTATCAAATGAAAGAAGTAGGCTATAATCAAGAGAAAATG